ATTACCAATACACCTGAAATGAAAAAGCTCATTCTGCATTAATTGCTCATATTTTTATATTGAGTATTCTCTATGATCAAAATTCCTTTTTTGAGTGTATAAAATATATTTTTTTATGTTTCATAAGTCTCAACTACGGTGTACAATAATATTCACATAAAGCATTTCTGTGTGAGTCGCTCGCAACAGTTATAAATATAAAATCTACGGTCCTTTGAAACTCAAGCAACTATTTTCAAAATGAAAGTTATCAAAAGTTGAGCAAACGTTAGAACTATGTGTACGCCGAATAATGTTATTTCACAGTTTCATGGAATTTTCATAATAAAAAGTTTAAAACTAACAAATAGAAGAGAAAATTAGAAAATTACACTAACGCAAACAATAAGAGTTTATTGTTTTTTTAAAAAGCTAGTGTTTAGAAACTTGCGGTGTAGTATATTTAGGAAAAGTCGTAATAAAATATTTTTTCCGTTCCTGAAATTTTATTGTATTTCTAAATAGAAGAGTTGTATACAGTGGTGTTTGTTTGATTTGGTATAAAAATATCCTATCTTCATAAACCATTTAAGAAACAAACCGATAGACACACTTTCGCATGTATAATGTTTGTATGGAGACATACTAAATAACAAAATAATATAGCACCTTCATTCCCATTAATAATGTAGATATATAAGTTTGAATGTTTTTAATTCCATCATTGTCTAATGTTGTCAGATAATATTTCATACATTTTTTTACCTGAACACGGGTAGCTCACCAGAACTACAGTACTAGTACACAGTGCTACTCTTTTATCTTTTAATATAATATAAATCCAGCTTAAGAGGGTAGAGAGGTAGTTAAAGAGGATGCTTAAATTTTTTATTTCCTCACATGAAAACGTGAAATAGGACTTAGCGCGCTGTTTATTTCGTATAGTCCCGAAATAAGGATACAATGTGGCACTACTTCTTTCCATCTCTAGGACGTCAGTATATAACACACAAAGATAAAGTAGCTCTTATTTTTTTTAACTTATTAATTAAATACTCGACCCCGACGTAACTTCAAAAGATCAGTCTATTTCCCGGAAGTCTAGGCGGATATTACGATCTATGTTGGTGATTTTAAAGTCGTATCGTAGTACCTTATAGTTTTTGTATCGCACTGGAGAAACAATAAAATATTGTATTTTTCTTTTAAACGAGATTCAAGGAAATAGGAAAGGAACTCACCGAGCGTTTTTTTTATAATTTGAAAATGCTGTTTTAAAATGACGCTACTGGAATATTTGCCATTTTCTGCCTATAATTTATATTAATTATATTTATATAACATACCTTCATGACATTTATATCAGATGAGATAAACAGAAGTATTGCAAATTTACAACATCATTGTTGACATGTCCACATGTTGCTGAAAATATTCGAATGAAATATGCTACATCTAATATTTATTACTAAACATATGAACAGAGAACATAATTATGTTCAATATGCGAATCATTGTAGGTTTCTTTAATTATACCATTATTAGTGATCTGCCATAGAATACAAAACCTCTAATTAATAATGAATCATAAACCAAGTATTCAAACGGTCAATCGCAAACAATTCCATTACATTACTATTTTTTAAATTAGAAATTATCTTTTTCTCCATTATTTAATGAAGGTGTTCTAGAAATTATTGTAATATATGTTAACGATGAATTCGCTGATGGAGGAGTACCTTTTTTTTATAACAAAGAGAGCAGACGCACTTGCAGATCACCTGATGGTATGTGATTACAGCCACCCATGACCACCCGCAACATCAGGAGAATTTCATGTACATTACCGACATTATTATCTAGAGGTATTATTTACTGCTAATATATAGTTGAATGGTATGTGATATCACCATTTTTCTCTGGATATATTTAATACCATTACCACTTATTTTTTTTCCATAACAGTAGTGTCAATTAGAAATCAGAAATTGAAACTTTATTTTTAATTCTCAATAGATCTCAGAGATCTTGTAGGACATGATGATAACCTTCTAATACATATAATGTATTTGAAAATATGTATATATGTGGAGATATTTAGATGTTGTGAGTGATATTCCACAACATTTATAATTGGATGCTTTTACGTTATATCACGATCGAGGGAGCATGACATTTATGTAAAATGTCCTAATGTATATAATGTATACAAGGATATAATATTAGGTAATTCTAGGTCCCGCACACCTACCTAAGTATTCGACATAGTAGAGGACGATTTAACACCTTCCATCACGACGTAACATAAACATTAATAGTTATGGAACATATTATTAATATTAATTTCGCATGGTCTTTATTTTTAGAGAACTTCTTGCATGCATATATCACATATATATTAAAGTAAAAATATATTTTTTTTGTATGTCCAGTCACATATCATAGAGTCCATAACATTAGCATTTGGAATAATGAACTGGATGGTTGTGATGGCGATTAAAATTATGACTAAGTAGTACTTAGTACAAGTGACCGAAAGTGTCCGTCAAAATATAATATTTGACTTTGACACGAGAAAGTTGTCATCTAGTAATTTACTACTCCAAGCTGTAAACCCCTAAGGCTAATTCTGTTAAAACTAATTCTTAAATAAGGATAATTATAACAGAATATGGGTATATTGTGTTTAATGTTTAAACATGTAATAGTAACACTGTCGTTCGTTCTTCGTCGTTCGCTATCTTTGTGTTAGCAAGTAATGCTATAAGTAATATAGAAAGTTTGTATTATTAGCTCATTGATCACTCGAATAAATAAAACAAAAGTAATAAGCGTTTATTTTTCCACAATAAAGCGTTCAACTTGAACAAATTCGAATGTGGCTAGTACCAAAAAAGATACAAATATTTTATTTCTATTTGCTATTATACTTTTGTTCTCTATGTGACCAGTGACGTACTATGGAGTCCACAACATAACATTTGGTACAATATGAAGTAGATGGAATGGATATGGATATAAGATGGTAACTAAATATCAATATTTAGTACTAGTGGCTAAAAGCATCCTATATGAATAAATATTTTTTGTCTTTGACAAATCAATTTACAGCTTTCAATTGTCGACTTAGTTAACTACATCTATTTGCTATTATATTGTAGTTTACTTAGGATTCGGTAAAATCTGTATGTAATATAAACATAACAAAAGACAAGCCCTATTATTGTACAACCGGAATTTGCCATTTAATGTGCTCTCTGAAGCATAATGTTTGTAGGCTACCATGCAATATTATACACAAGTATTTGTATCTATACTAATATTATAATGAGGTAAATTTTCTTAGTATGAATGTCAATGATACTACTGTATTGAATAAAAAAAACTGAAAAAGTATTTTGGTGTTAAATAGTCCATTTATCAAAGAAGTATAGGCTATCTAACATCACAATATGTTCATAGGAGTGGAGATGGAATGAAAAGTGTTATAAAAATGAAAAAAATGTAACGGAGACGTATAATAGTTGCGCGTATTAGATAAATCATAATAGAATAATTTTATGTGGATTTGAAGTTGACAACTATCATTCGTGATCATATAAACATTATAGATTTAAAGGTTTTTAGCCAATGCTTAAACTACTATAATGTACATAATGTAATCATCGATATTCCAAAATAAATATTTTTTAGTATCAATATTTATTTTCTTACTAATTGACTCTACAAAAACTTTTTAACTAATTCTTTCACATATAGATAGATATAGTGGGTAAAGCTGTGGAGTATGCTAGTGTTTTATAATGGATTTATCGGCTCTAACCAACTCGGAACTGTAATCCCATTTAATTAAGTAGTGCAAAGTTCTACTATTAACTTACCTACATCTCTTTTATTTAAGTTTACAATACATACACATCTTTTACTAACCATAAATTCAGATTTTTTAATATAATTTCGTTCGATCGACTTTGGAATATACCGTTTCACACCTTTTCATAGTCTTGAATCATTCACTTACTAGTTTATATGTCGTGAGTATTGAATGAACTAATCGATATAATTAATGGAATTATTTAGTTAGTTCTCTAAAGAATAATGCAAAATTGTTTATTATTAGTGAATTAAAATCGTTATTTATATTAGACTGGATACTAAATCATTATTTCGAACATTAAACGAAGTAAATTTTATGTTAGTTTGTCCGAGAATTATCAATTTTGCTCTGTGTTACCTGCTTACTTTTATGGATGTATTAGAAATAATACACCCGCCTGCACTTTCGGAATACGCTATGAGGGCAACAGTATAGAATAATATGATGAAGACAAAGTTAGGTCAATTACCTCATCGTTGTAAATTCTTACGGAATTAACAACAATGTTTTCCAAGGGGTCGACATGTTAGGGTACGTTGTTAGCTATAGAACTAAAACCCATTACTAATTCCCTCTCCCCGTTATCGGAGTACTTGAATAATAATGTTTGTTTTGTAAGCACGGAATTCCAATAAACAAAAAAATATGTACGTAATAGGTGCGTTTTTTGTCTAAAAGGCTTTAAAGATGGACCTGTTTTGTATTGTTTATTACGTAACTATTAAAGTACTTACTATGCTTTTATATGCCAAGTCATTGGGTTAGCACGTCAATTAATAAATAACATGTTTGGTTTCAAATTATTATTTTATGTTAGGAATCAAAAGTTAGGAATGTAGCATGACTATGAGAATTATCTATGATAGATATACCCTGATGAAAAATAATATCATTTTCTATAGAGTTGATTAGAAACTAAAATTACTTAACTGAAAGCTTATTGTAAGTGCTGTTTAAAGTAATTGTACTTGTTCCTTACCTCACTTAACAAGCGGAAATATCTTTTTATTTAAGATAAACACGATGCTCGATGTCCCGGGGATTTTTAATTGGGAACTACAAGTGCTCAGTACTCTAATCAGCAGCTACCTGTGGCGGCTGGAGCATGTGCCTCGGACGACAGTCGCGCGCAGGCTTCCACGCGGTTCGGTTGCGTGGTCGCGCCATGCCACCCTAAACTACTATCAGAGCCGTCCGCATGTCACCGACGCGCTTCTAACTGACCGGAAAATTTTGAATTTCCAATTTCATTTTTAAATGTAAATTTTAATTTATTTATCATTCATAAATCGATTAAACCACGTGTCTGATAAGTGCACCCCTGAACCCGCCGTTCGAAACACGAATTCGAAAAACCACCTGTTGATCGCGATTTAGCTAAGTCCAAGGGACAGCGTCACAATCTGTTTACAAATGGGAACCTCCCCCTCACTCCCTACTGCGAATTGTGACGCAATGTCTTGTGGACGTCCCGCGTACATGTGTTACTATGGCGGAAAAATAACACTGGTCGCTTCAAAATAGATTTCCGCGTTTCCACCTGTGTTACGCTAAACATTCATTACACGGTGTTACCATAGACGCATGAGTTACGATCTTTAAAAAGCCGCCGTAATCGCGTAAACGTCCAGCGCTGCTTATACAATTTTTGAAGGCGATGACGAGGCATTGTTTTGAAACAATGAACGCAAAGTTAATTTGGAATTTCATAAGCGCTAAGTTCGCTAAATTTGCGCTAAATTAACGTGAAACAAAGGCGTCATTCCTAAAAGTTCATTAGCATTTAGCTAGACGCGAGATAAACAATATATGCTTTGTTCTAATATATGTGTGTCTCTAGGATATTTGATCAGTAAATTAAAGTTATATAAATAATGTTCTAAATTTAAAAATATAGAAAAAACTAGCCTATTGATAACTGGCCACTGAGAATTGCGATTTCGAATAAAGAACATATCACATTGGAGGTGATAACACCAAATATAATTTACCGGTTTAACAACTCTATTCACCTACTTACCTAAGTGTTCATGCATTTACCGCACTTCTAATATTATTCAATCTAATGACGTAGTTTAATCGATTGATAGATAAACAAGACCAATAAAAAGTATACATTAAACTACATACGTAGATGTTTAACATAAATAATTGGAAAATTTTGCATATCTTTAGAATATGTAATAATTATATTACGTATTTCATTTATATGCGAACCTGCTATTTCGAATGTTATTCTTTAACAATCTCACTAACAAATCAGTCACTTGTCAGATCACGGTCTTTATGTATGAAATAAATGAGATCGTAACGGTGGCATATTTAAAATTTATTACCTACCTTTACAAGCAGCGGACCAATGAAAAAGTGTAGTTACGAGCTAACTGTGTATCAAAATAGTGTTGTAATAAACATAATATCTGGTGTTATTAATCATAACGATGAGTAACGTGTGAAAATATCTGGTGACCTTTCATGTGTGACAGGTGACAGTGATTAAGTGCAGGGTGACAAGTACTCGTAGATACTAGTGGAGATAGCGTGTGATGTGATGATGCGACGGGGTAAAGCGTTGCTGGAAGGCAGCCGGCAGGGCTCAGTCGACGGCAATAGTAATGTGTCCAATGATAAGGAGCTGGTACATAAGTGCCACAGTGACCCTGGTGGGGGAATGGCACTGGGAGCAGCACCCAGGCCTCACAGACATCGATCGGCCTCAGGCGCGCCAAGGAAATGCGTTCTAACGCTAGATGGATACTCGTATGTTATTGGTAAGTATTGTGTGGGCGATTTATGACTATTTATAGGTCTGGAATGACGATTCAAAGAATGTTCCACCTTTTTTCCATATATTATGAAATTAAGAAAAATATTCAATTTAAAATTCGAACACCAGAAGGCGTTTTCGACGAGTTCATAAAAATCAAGAGATAAAAACATGTTAATGTTCTTTTTTGATATATTAAAAAAATACTTTTTTTTTTAGAACAGTAATAAAGGAGATGTGGTTTAATCTTGAGGAGTGACAACATTATGTTCTTCGTAAATTATTAATATGTCTGCATTAAATATTCTACTTTGTTGTTATTCTAATTCATATTAAAAAATAAACTACTAATGTTATTGTTTCTCATTGACTAGTAAGTAATAATGGTTTGTAAACATATTGAGAAATCTCGTTACTTATATCGTAATATTCTACGTTTAATTTTTCAAATTAATTATATAAGTACTGCTCTGTAAGTATAACTACTTGTATAAAAAATGACCCCGCTTGAAGTAAGGCGATATGCTAAACCCTAGCGGCCACCAAGGTATAAGAAATATTGCAAATTATTATATGTATATAGACTACGATATCGACTTCTATCGCATTATTACAGAGAACTCAAAACCTTCTTGTCAGTTCCTAATCAAATTTATAAGAAACTATAAGTTTCTTTAAAATGCATTTGCGTAGAAAAAGTAAAATGTAGTTAAATATGTAAGAATACCAATTCCTTTGATTGATGTCGGTTGATTTTTTGATTAACATGTAAATATGTAAGGGCCATTTTTTTGTTCACTCTTTGAACATATGCCCCTAATATCTAAAATATACGTACTCAATATTAATTATAAAGATCAATGTTTATCTTTGAAGTTAAGAGGTTTATACTCGTAATCCGGAAGGCTTTGAAGCCCTTCAAGATGTCTCCTTTTATAAGCAAATGTAACATACAATATCTTAGACCTTAATACGAACATCCCTAATTTAATTCTTTATCCTACTTTATCCCTGGTATTAAAAATTGAAATATCATATATAAAATATATGTACATATGCAGTTGTATAATTTCAAAGGAAATTCTAATTACAGTGAATATTTAGAAATATAAGAAAACAGCTTTGTCTACATTTTTGAGACATTATAGTTTGTGTTCGTTCTCGTGATACTTTTATTAAGATTCGATCAGCAATATAGTCGTGAATACACTAGATAGAACTATTATACATATATCTTATAATTATAATTTCTTATAAAATTCTTGTGTCACAATGTTAGTTACCATACTCTTCCCAAACGGCTTGATCGATTTTTATGAAATTTTATATGCATATTCAGTAGGTCTGAGAATCGGCTACTATCTATTTTTCATACCCCTAAGTGGTAAGGGATATCCACATATATTAGAATTTAGGATTGAAAAATACATACAACTCTAAATTTTCACCGTTCCAGCATCCACCCCTATTTTTTAATAGCGATTTTAATTTATATGGAAAAACAATGTTTGCCGGGACAGCTAGTATATATATAGAGGAACAGACACACTTTTACGCATTTATTAGTACATTTTACTACTAGCAAGAAACCGGACAATATAAATAAATTCTGTTTAAACTTTCAAGTTATTCTTTGCGAAAGTCTGGAGTATGAACTAGGTCGACCTAGTTCATACTCCAGACTCTCTACTTGTACTACAGATTTCCAGGGTCTATCCGGGACCTTAGAGTACTACACAATACATCTTAAAAATATTAAACATTAGTTAATACTGAGTACCAGTGACCCCATAGCTACTTGCATGAGGTACTCCTAGAAAAACATCATAGTGATATATTCGCCACAATAGATTCTATTATCATGAATTTAAAAAAAATTGTATTGCAATATATTACAGCATTCAGAGTACAAGTAAGTAAACCCATTCATTTCAAATATGGTCCAATTGGGACCGATCGACTGCACCAATATAAAGTTATCTAAAAGTACTTATTCACTAGGAGTATCAAAATAATATTCTCTATCCCTTATCCTTTCGAACTGGAATAAGAATTCAAATCCTCGAGGGCTTACATTGTATATTTTCGGTAAGCTTCACACTTTAGCGCAAAAACGCCGCTCTTCTTTCGAATAGCCCCGAAATTCTTTATACGGGAATAAATACATTTATTATTACTATTTACCAATATTCCCATAAGAAGAAATCAATATCATTACAATATAATAAATATTTTTGTATTTTTTGAAACAGGTCTACTCAATCAATCATTTTTATTTAATCAAAATGTCTATGATAATGATTCGGTAGACACAATCGATAAAGCTGATCAGTCTTTACATGATTCTAATTGATTAACTTACATAGTTGACTTATGTGATATTAATTAGTCGGAAATATAACAGTTGACGAATTGTCTCTATCTGTATTTTATATATATATCTATATACCAATATAGTATATATATTAATTAAATACTTCAAAATTAGTTATTTGTACTCGGACTATGTCCAATAAAACAAAAACTTTTATCTAAATATCTGAACGATGTCTAATAAAAACTTAGTATATTTTTTATTTAATTGTTTTTCTATACAAGTGACATAACCATTAAAAATATTATATTCTACTACGGAGCATTATAAAGAGTAAACAGATTGAAATTTTCAGCTAACTAATATAATAAGGTTTAAAATAAGGCATTGATGAAAAATGTAATAAAGGTATGCGATTAAGAAATGTTTTTGTAGGCCAAACTCTGTCCAAACATGGTTATCCCTCGGACGAAAAAATATGAAATAGAATATAAAAGTGGATGAATTCAGACATTGAGAAAATACCGACTCACCACTGTCAAACAGATTACTTTTTTTAATGGAAAAGTAAAGCACTTTCGCGTCCAGAACTCACGTCAGAGACAAATTACGGAAGCAAACGAAGCATAAGATCTGTTTACGGATAAAGGCATTTGGTAGTCTGCACCCTTTACTTGTCCTTTAAGATATCTAACCTTTACATTTAGAAATAATCCGCAATGATTTTGACATCGAATAAGTTAATCTTGATTGTTCTAAAGCTTGAAATTATCTCGTTTAAATGCGAAACACAAGAATTATTGCTGTATCTGAGATGAATAAGGTTCAAGGACGATTTTAAAATGATAGCAAGCTATGATAATAGCAATAATATTCCCCACATTAAGGCTAGTAATAGATTGAAAAAAAAAATACAATTATATTAAAGTATATACAGTGACAAAGTATATAAAGTGAATGCACCTTTCGTAGAATAAGCAGTTGTAAGGAAAGTAAAAGTAGCAGAACTAAATAAATAACAAATCAGCTAGTAATTTGAGTAATACAAATAAATTTACGTTAGATAAATTGCTGACAGCAATCCGTTTCTTGTAATAATAGATAACGAACCCGTTGAAAGGGTATCCTGTTTCAATTGTCGTAGCTCAAATGGCCAGGCAGGCGATCGATGAAGCCTTACTGCTTGGATTACAAAATCTCAGCATTGTGCTCGCTCGTAAAATCTTGATCACTGTCAGTATTATTGAAGTATAAAGGTTAGATTTTAAAATTTTATCTCTTTATTTGTTGACAAATTTTGATTATTAACATTCTTGGATCGTAAAAATATAATAAAATAATAATAAAAGGAAGTAGCACTGAATCAAATAATAATGAAATAATCCTAAGAATAGAAAGAAATGATGAGTCTTAAATCTTATTTAAAAAAGAAAATAATATAGACAAAATATACCCCGTTTCTGTCATTGTAATGAAATTATCTTTAGCTAGACATATTTGAATTTCATATAAAATGTATGCGACTCAAAAGCTAATCAAACGAAGAAACTTCGGTATTAGTGCTACATAAACAAATTTAATACTATTTAATTCTATGGAGTCTATGTATTAAATTTTTATTGGGCTCAAAAATCCGATATAGATATTTATAGGTACATAGGTCAGAATATAAGTTCCAACAGTGTCAACTAAAGCTTCTACTGTCCAAATATTTAAACCGTGAAAGTTCTAAATTCACGTTCCTAGTTTTCGGATACTACCGAAATGTCACATCGTACATTTATTATTTTGTTCCTTTTTCATAATTTTTAGTTATCGTTTATATACACTTATTGTTTATTTAAATGAAAATGTTATTAAGTTTAACAATGTATAATCGTCAATTTAAGATTCATTGTTCGTCTCATTGATTACTTGCTACCAGGAACAGTTTTGTACCTAATTATATTTATGTTTGCATTACAATCTCTATAATAAAATTCGTTGTTAATTGTACGTAGTATTAGATTTTTGTAAGAAACTATTACTCAAGCAGGAATTTTCGTGCTAACAATATGCAACTTTAACACTAATAAAGGGGTGACTGGCATACTGCCAGCAACTTAAGTAGTTAATGACGCTGCGCTCAAGCTCGATTCTAGAGGAAAGCCTTAAACTAATAATTGAGTACTTTTAAACATATTTACAAGAATCTTAACTCTGCTTTAACTAATTGGATAATTGTTTTATAGTGAATCAAGTATACTAGATATAATGTGTAACAAAGTTCATATATGAGGTGACGGGTGGTTTTTGGATTATGTACCTAATTTGAATTTTTTAATATTTTTCTAATGTCAATGAGATTTATAAAATCAAGAGATCTTATATATTACTTTTATGCACTCTTTCATTTTCCCCAGTGATTCAAGTCTAAAGTATAAATTAGTTTCACATTTTTTGCTTCAGTACTTACTATGACTCTCTAAGTTAAACGTTAATAAATAAAACAATAACTGTCTTTTTTAATATATCCAAAAACTATACATACTCTTTGTATACTTATCCTTCAATGACTAAGCTTATTTACTAATAAAGACCATGAAATTGATAACTTATTTTAATAATAAGGTCTCAAATCAGGTAACTACCTCTGCTACTAATCATATCAGGTCTGTCCCTCAAGAGATTTAGGTACACGAAGGTATGTG